GGGCGGGGTGGGGCAGTGAAAGTGCGGTGCCCTCCGGCCAGAGCGGCGGCAGGGCCCTGCAGAAACGAGCGGGGCAAAAAGAGGGCCGCGACCGACCCGAACCACAGGCAGAGAGCATCCTGTCGTGCGGCGAACGAGTGGACCAGAAACACGCCGCCGCCGCGGACTGTCGTCACCTCGGTCGTCACAAACCATAAGAAAGGCACAAGCGACATGTTTGTTTTGTTGGTTTTCGTTGATTGGTTTGTTTTTCTCTTTATTAATTTTCAAAGCATCGCGTTTGAAATTAAATGTAGGGTTGGAAATTTCCCCACAAGATAATCGGAAAATGTCCGGAAAATTCCCGGAAAATTTCCGGGAAATAACGGAAAACTTCAAAAGTCCGTGAAATTTTCCATCTGTCTCCTGTAAATTTCCCGTTGTTTCCGGAAACTTTCCAGGGCCTACAACCCTAATTATATGGAACAAGAAAGAAAAACGGCTGCGTATTTTGTAAAGTGTTTTGGCTATAAACGAGATATACGCACAGACTCTAGCACAGCCGCGCAGATACACGCGCGCGCGCGCACACGCACACACACACACACAATAACACACGCACATTCCACCCGGACTTGGTAGGAGCCAGGTGTCTCCGTCGCACTGGTTTTGAGTAGGCGGCACGGGGCGGGGCGGGGTGGCGCGGGGCGGGCCCGTCTGACGCGTACGCGGGGGCGGGGAGGCGGCGGCAGGGTCGGTCCATCAATTCCGTTACGCTTTTGTTATTACGGAATAACAAAGGCAAGCAAATAGTGGACAAGGCGTTGTGTGCATTGTGCACCCTGGCCGCAAAGCGTCCGACGGAATGTTACACTGTGTCCGACGTAGTGTTACACGGTGTCCGACGTAGTGTTACAATGTGTCCGACCTTGTCTTACACACGCTTTGTTACACACGCTGTACCACACCTACTGTGTTGCACACCTTGTTACACACTTTGCAGTTCAGTTGAACACCTGGACCCGGGCTGCGCGCCCCGCCCCGGGTTGCGTAGCGCACCGGCGCACACCTGGGACCTGGGCCGCCGCGCCTCTCATCCATTGCGAGTTAATCCATGCCGACGGGACATGCCAAAAAATTTCATGTCCTCGATTATGACAATATTTTTTTTTTAAACCACAACATGAAATTGGTAAAAGGGACCTTTGCAATAGAGTATTTTCTTTTAGTGGGGCTGGCCCTGCAATATGTTTCGCGTTTATCCTGAAATTTTCAGCACCCTTGAGCGAAAAAAAGTCTGGTTTGTGACTTTTGAAAAAGCATGAAAAAATAAGCAGAGATAAAAATTTGAGAAGGACTGGACAAAAAGTTGCGGATGTCAATACACCCGGTGGTGCAGCAGCCTCGGGATTTAGGTAAAAGCACTACTTGCGTCAATTTTTATTTATTTATTTTTCAAGTTTTAGATGTGTAGTTACGCCGAGTTACGCCCTTCCCAGTGCTCGCGGTCTAGGGGTCGGCGCCGTCTCTCTCACGCGCCGCTACATTTCGGCCGTGCCCCGTGCGGCCCGTTTGTTTTGTTCCGCGAGGTTCTCAAACGACGAGGCCTGATCACCAAACAAGAAGTAGTGGTGGTGTGCGGTGAGAGAGTCTTGAATAAGATGGAAAGTGCGCGCGCAGGGATGTAATGGAGAGCCGTGGGGAGGTGCGGTGGGAGTCGCCCGCGCGCCGGGGGGGCTCCGCGGCGGCCGCGGCGGCAGCACGGTGGCCTGGGCTGTTCATGCAGAGCGGGCGGAAGAGAAACGCCGCGACCTCCGCGCGGAGAGCGATAGGAGAGTGTTCGGCCGGCCGCGGCGGCGTGAGCACCCGAGGGACACCCGAGGGACACCCGACTGATGAACACCCAAGGAGTACGTACCAAGGGGGCATCCGAAAGGGGTACCAAAAGGGCCCCCGACGCGGGCACCCGAGGGATACCCGGGGGCTTTGCCGGTGGGTACCCGGTTACCCTACATGGGCATGCGGAACTCTATACTCAGCACCACTCAGCACCATCAAAACGCAAAAAGAAAAAAAAAAGAAAAAAACAACAACAACACAGTACGTGTATTAGAGTGATTTTTTTGGTTTATTTTTGAAACTAATGAGGTTTTCTGCTTCCGGTGTGCTCGCAGGTAATAGCAGACATGGCCCGGCGCGTGGCCCTGCTCGGCGCCGTGTGGGCGCTGAGCCTGGCGCTCGCAGCCACCCCGGCGCAGGCCAAAGGGTGAGTACACAGCACACCTCACCTTTAAACCATGGCTGGAAATTTCAAAAAATTTCCGAAAAATTCCCTAAAACAGGGGTTCGTAACTTATCGAATAAGCAAATTTTAGGTATCCGTATCTCGTAAACGGCTTGCGTTATTGGCGTTATGCATCTTATGACTTGTTCTCCTGCTTATATCTGAAATTTTTCATTATATGCAAGCTTTTAAGTAGTCAATAACGCGAGATAATGATCAAACGTTTAGCTTAAATGATAAGTTACGGACCCCTGCCCTAAAATTTCCGCGGGAACAAACGAAAAACTTCCAAAGTCTCGGAAATCTCCTGAAATTTTACGGAAACTTTCTAGGGTTTCCAACCCTACTTTAACATTATATTGTTGCTGACGCGTGCCGTGTGCAGGACGTACACCATCGTGGCCCCGCGCACGCTGCGCCCGGACTCGGGCTTCCACGTGGCGGTGACGACGCAGGGCGCGTCGCAGCCCACGAGCGTCACGCTCGAGGTATCGGGCCGCCAGGACTCGGGTGGCAACCAGCGCGTCGTGCAGACCATCCTGGTGGAGCCGTTCGCCACGCGCACGGCGCGCCTCGACATCCCGGACCTGGGGCCGGGCGAGTACCGGCTCTCGGCGCGCGGCCAGGGCGGCGTCGACTTCGACAACAGCACCGCGCTCGACTACGTGCACAAGAGCTACTCGGTGTGGGTGCAGACCGACAGGGCCGTGTACAAGCCCGGCCACCTCGTGCAGTTCCGCGTGCTCGCCCTCAACCCGCTGCTCAAGCCCAGCGTGGCGCAGCCGCTCGACATCTACATCGCCGACGGCAAAGGACACCGCGTCAAGGAGTGGCGACGCGTGCCGCTCACCCGGGGCGTCTTCTCCGGGGAGCTGCTGCTCTCCGAGTCGCCCGTCCTGGGCGACTGGAACATCACCGCCTCCATCCGGGACCAGTCGTTCGTCCAGAACTTCCAGGTGGCCGAGTACGTGCTGCCCAACTTCGAGGTGACGGCCGACATCCCCAAGTTCACGACCTACAAGGACGGCAAGATCTCGGCCACGGTCCGGGCAAGGTGATCGTCGCATCGACACAGCACGACCGTGACAAAAGCGAGCGTAAGTCGAGCAGAAGGTGTTTACAAACGATCTTCTCGCAGGTACCCCTACGGGAAGCCCGTGCGCGGTGAGGCCACCGTCACGGCCTACCCGACGTACGTCTCTGACGTGCTGCAGCCCGTGTTCGAGGCCCCGGTGCGCAAAGTGGTGCCCATCGACGGCAAGGTGCTCGTCGAGTTCGACGTCCAGAAGGAGCTCAAGTAAGTCCCCGTTCCTGTTCCCCGCGCGCATCTAGGAGTTTTAATTTTCTTTTAAAGTATTTCTGATAAATTTTTCAAG